CAAGAAACACTGTTTACAGAATGTGACTATATGAGGGAATTTGTTGGGAACTCTGTTTATGAGCAAGGTAAAAGTGGGGGCATATCTACCAAAGATGATAATTTAGTTTGAGAGGATTTTATCTGTAACCCAACTATGACAACAGGAAGCCACAGGGCTTGCTGCCTCTATGGGCCACTTCTACATAACCCACCGATATCATCTGTATATGAAAGAGACTGCTTTTGTCTCTTTTCTTGAAGTGGGGTGGGATGGTGAGATGTGAACAGCTCATCAAAAAATTATTAAGAAATAAGCTAAAGGGAGTCAGGACACCTTCCTGTTTAACCTCAGGAGAAAATTCTAACTGGCTTGTGAAAGGATCTGGATTCTCCAGGTTCTAAATAAGCACCAACGTACCAAGGGCTGTGGTTGGTTTATTTAATTTAGACTTTGATCAGCTTCTGCCTACAGAGTTAGAGGCCAAAGAAAAGTCAAAATGAGCCCCTGAGAATCTAGAACCATTTCTAACATATTAGAATATTAAGTGAAATGAGCAGGATGATAAACGATGTTGACAGTAATGTCTCAAACTTAAAAATATAGGCATAGCAAATAAAAGCAAGGAGATATATAAAAATATTAGCTGCTGTTACTGAATGCGGGAGTTGGGTAGATAATTAAATATTTATCCATTATACCAATTCACTATAATGAAGATGTAATAGGCAAGGCAAACCATTGTTAGAAAATGTGAAGATGTACACATCTTCAGAGATGCAGAGATGCTTCAAAGGCTGTGGAGCCTTTCTGGTGCCTAGCATTGCTTCCTCCAACTTTTTAAAATCCATTTTGCTATTGTTGTACCCATCACTCTGAATTGTGATTGCTTATTTCAATTCCTATCTCTTTCCTCCACACTAGACTGATTTCCTTTAGGGCAGAGATCATGCCAGAGTCTTCAACTCTGTTACTTCACACCATTCCCGGCACACTGTTGCTACAAAATAAATGTCTGTTGTTTCGGATGAAGAATTTAGGACCTTTAGAAACTCTTCTACATCATAGAAGAGTTCCCAAAGCCAAATTCAGTAGTAGAAACTAATATCCTCCGAAATTAACAATAATGCTGTAGGGATCCATCAGGGAAAGGAAAAGAATTTTACAGGCACCTAGAGAAAGGATTCATACATTGACTTTTTTTTTTTTTTTTTTTTTTGCAGATTATTGCCCTGCCCAAGGAGGTCGGATTCTTTTTGAGTAGGAGTGTGAAACTGGGTTTGTGTGAAACTGGGTAGCTAAATAGACTGAAATGGATAACTACTGAAGAAAAGTAGGAACACCTTGGGGCACCTGGGTGGCTTAGTCGGTTAAGCGTCCAACTTTCGCTTAGGTCATGACCTCGCGGTTCGTGGGTTCGAGCCCTACGTCGGGCTCTGTGCTGACTGTCAGCTCAGAGCCTGGAGCCTATTTCAGAGTCTGTATTTCCCTCTCTCTCTGACCCTCCCCTGCTCACGCTGTCTCTCTCTCTCCCTCCTAGAAATAAAAAAAAAAAAAAAAAGTAGGAACACCATAGGATAAAAGCCACGGAAGAATCTGAGAGCACAACTTATTCTCTGGACAAGAGAAGACAATAGCATTTCAATTAAATGCTTCAATAAAATATCTTCTGTAGCTAAAAATCATAATCACAAGTAAGAACCTGACTCGCCAAAACCACCCCTAAAGTACACTATAATGTAGATTTCAGTATATATATGCCTTACGCAAAACCAAAGTTCTTTGGAAAATACCCTAGTGGTGTATTAGGATCAAACCCAAACCATAACAGTTGGACCTGTCTGACCCTGATGTGTTTGCCTGGCTCACCCCACGGGGCGGGGCGGGGTGGGCGGGGGAGGCAGCCTCCTCTGCGGGTGTGCTGGGGAAAGCCCTCTGGGGGGGGGAAAATGGTGAGTGCATGTGTGCATGACTTAACTTCAGGACTTGCCATGACTGCAAATAAAGAAGGGAGATCACTTATTAATTCATTCTAATTTGTGCAAGGGTATCCAAAAGACACAAATAAGAGAATGACTCTGAAAAAAATCATGGTACGAGAATATCCTGGAGTGATTTGGAAAGATACCCTAAGTGACCATAATAGAGAAGTGATGGACCCGGCGTGTCAGGCTAGGAGGCCACAGAAAAGAGTATAAAAGAAGGAAGACAAAATCTGGATCATTTTTTTAAAACTGTTTATACTCTGAGGGGATGCAAAAAATTCTGTGAGTGAGTCAGCCTGGAAATAATGAGAAAGAGAGTCTATAAAGTTCATAGGAGCTAGGGCTTAATCATACCCCAGAGGAAATTATGTAGCAAAAAGCAAATGCCAGTGCATTTGTTTGATAACATCCATTAGTGCAGACTGTCTGGCAGAAACAAGCAACAGGCATCAAAATATCTTGATTTTAAAGTCAGCAAGGAAAAAATGGATGAGCTCTTCAAAGATTAAATATATATGGCTCATCTAAGATCAAACAACAAATAACTCCAACCTGTGCCTGGTAAGTCTCAATGTATTTTGTTATTTAAAGTAGGGCCCACAATAAGGAAATAAAAGCAGATGGACACTAGGAAGCTCGAAGCAGAAAGAATCAAGGAATGAGCTGAGAACCAAATAATAATGTAAAAATAAAGAGTTTCAGGCCAAACTGAACTGGCCTAGGGCAAGGGCTAGTATAAATATAACTGGAGTTCCTAAAGTTTTATTTATTTATTCTTATAAATAAAACACTATTTCTTTGGTTAGTATTTCCAAAATTATACGGTCAGAGATAGATCTGGAATAGTACATGATGACAATCTAAACACTTCTAAAGCAATGTAATTTGTCATAATTAAGAACTGAAATCAGCCAAATGTTCCACAACAGTGGCATGGTAAATTGAATCGTGGCACATCTATGGTTTGGATATTATGCAGCTTCTAGTTAGTTCTGTGTAGTAACATGGAATACACTCATGACAGAGCTCTAAATGACGAAGTTAGTTCATACAATATGGATTACAGAGCTCAAGTAATGCTATATATAGTTTTTAAAACAGGTTTTCTTCATTACATTTACATTCTCAAGAAAAAGTTGCAATTTAACTTAAATTTGCTTTGTTATTTTTTATTAGTAGTACCCTCATAGAGCACTGAACATGCTCCAAGCAGAAGCAAAGCACGTTCCTCGCTTCTAACTATGAGGGTTTATAAAACCCTTAGTAAAATATTGCAGAGACAAAAGATGCTGCCCCGCGAGGCTCTCTGTAGCTCACAAGCCCCCTGCCATTCTTTGCCAGTGTTTCTAGAAGTCACCAAGTAAATACCAAGTGTAATGTCTAAAGAGAGAATTGATATAGTCCCTCAAAGGAAGAAACCCACTGAGTCTTCATGTGTCCCAATTTATGATTTTGTCATAGAGACAGTCAAGCATCTACACACCCAAGGAAAGTGAAGCCCCAGGGAAGGCTCTGGCCACAGCCAGCACAGGGCACTTTCCCCAGGCCCTCTCCTGAGGATTAATCAATGTGCCTAAAAGCATTTCAAGAGAAAGCCACTCTCCTTGGGAGTTTCTGCATTTATTTGCATATCCTGTCCTTTTTTGGACATTCTTTGTCATTTTAGGATTATTAGGCTAATTCCTTTCCAGACATATTTTATTTCTTTTGTATTTATAAAAAATAGTTCTTAAAGATGCTGATTTATATCTTTGTGTATTTTATCTACTTTAGTTACTTACATACTCATAAGAATTTTTAAATCTAATCTTTCATTTTTTTAAATTAAAAAAAAGTTTTATTTATTTCTGAAAGAAAAAGAGAAACAGCATGAGCAGGGGAGGGTCAGAGAGACAGGGAGATACAGAATCTGAAACAGCCTCCAGGCTCTGAGCTAGCCGTCAGCACAGAGCCTGATGTGGGGCTCGAACTGTGAGATCATGACCTGAGCTGAAGTCAGATGCTTAACCAACTGAGCCACCCAGGTGCCCCTTGATGGCTCTTTTCAAAACTAAGGAATCTTGAAAAAAATTTGTTCCTAATCAAGCATCTGTATTGGGCATGGCAGGCTAAAGTCAGGATAGACCATTGCTGCTGGCCAGGATGTACCCCTTTGTTTTCCACTTCATGAATTATAGGACTCATAGTCAGAATCCTGATCACATTACAGATTAAAGCTAATCTTTCTAAGTGAAGAACATTTCCTCAAGGGAAAATTTCTTATTTCTAGGATACTTCACAGATGCAATAACAACACTAAAAAAGATGTGGAATTATAGAAAGATGGCTTTTATGCAACTTTAAAGTATTTGATTTTATTGAAGTAGTTAAACTGATTTAATTTTAACCATATAAAAAATTCAAATACCTCAACAGTGAATTTCAATTAGGGAGAAGGATGAGGGTTATACAAGAAATCACTTGGAGAGTTCTTCCAACTAGACGTGTTGGCATCCCCTCCCAAATTCTGGAAGTTTTGGGGTGACTGCCACATATCCTTCCTGCTGGTAAAACCAAAGATCAAAACAAAAGAAAAAACCACAACAAGGGAAATGGAATTTGCCTTTGGCTTCCCAGGCACTCCTGACCATATTCTGGCTGTTGATCCCTTCATGAGTGTTCCCAGCATATTTTTAAGAGTTTACTAGTTAAATTAAAACAGCACTTGTAAAAGTGGGAACTGATTCTAAATATCACGGTTTTGTTGTCATAGAAAACTCCTACTTGGAGCCACACCATCAAATTCTGTATCACGAGGCTCTAATGCACAGGAGTACTCATCCTTCAGTGCAACGAAGACCAGAAAAATAATTATTTCACAAGAAAAAGTGTTTTCAAGGGGAAAGGTCACATAAAAATTACAAGCTTTTCGGTTGTTTGATACTTAAACCTGGAAAACAGTTGGGCAGGCTGACTGTGGGCTAGGCCGGTGCCAGCGAGGCCAGCAGACACTTCGCACCCACACCCCCTTCGGAAGCAGGCAGCTCAGAGACTCACCGGCAGGGCAAGATCCGCACGACGTCATTGGGCTTGTACCCTTCAATGCACACTGCACAGTTATCAAAATCGGGCTCTGTTTCCTGCAGCAGAGAAAATACAGATGAGCTTACCTGTGTAGCTTCAGCTCGTGTGGAAATACCCGAATAAGCAAGAAGAGCATGCCCGGAGCAAGGCTTTCAACAGGCCAGCTGCCGTTTTTTTAATCAATAAGTGGCTGTATATCGGCTCAGTTTCCATTCTTCCAACCTCTACTTTTTGTTTCTGGGTTCCACTGCAAGGGCTTTTGTGAGGGAACAGTTTTTTAATGCATCGTTACTAATAATGCTATTTATTATAATTGTGAGAAAGAAAGTTTTAAAAATACCATTACTAAGAATGCTATTTATTATAATTAGAGGTGTCATCAAAATCTCAAGGATGAGAAATACTGTTTATGGAGAACTGTCTGAACAATATTTAATCTATTGCGTCCTTGGGAATCTTATGTCTACAACTCTAGAATAATGGTTTGAACTTTTTATTCGAGTATATAAATCTCTTTCAATACCCTATACTACTTATGTGGTGGTCCCTGCTCTTTTATGTTCTGTTTGAGGAGAAAAAGTGATGAAAAAATATACTTTAAATTTAGTAATGAATTAAATAAATTTCATCTTATTAAGCTCAATAGCATCTTTATATAGTCAAAAAACAGCAGCATGCAGTGAGACAAATCAATTATTCAGACTGGAGACGATACATGGTATATATGTAGAGCTGGGAATCCCTTACAATGCCCTGAGGAGCCCCAAATATGTGTACTGCAATCCACTGCTCTACAATTTTGTCTGGGGAGAAGAGAGACCTTTAGGGCCTGGACTGGACTGTTTTATTGTTCCTCTTCAAGATATGCTTCTGCTTTTGATATAGTTATTACAGCATTATTTATAATAGCCAGGATATGGAAGCAATCAAAGTGTCCATTGACAGATGAGTGGATAAAGAAGATGTGCCATATATATATGTATATATATATATATACACACACACATATACACACACATATATATGGGTGTGCACACACACAATCACACACATATATATATACACACACAATGGAATAGTACTCAGAAAAAAGAATGAAATTTTGCCATTTGTGATAGCATGGATGGATCTAGAGAATATAGTGGTAAGTGAAATAAGTCAGTCAGAGAAAGACAAATACTATATGATTTTACTCATATATGAAATTTAAGAAATAAATGAACAAAGAAAAAAAGGAAACAAACAAACAAAACCCAAACTCTTAAATACAGAGAACAAACTGGTGGTTGCCAGTGGGGAAGTGGGTAAGCGGATGGGTGAAACAGATAAGGGTGATTAGGAGTACACTTATCTTGATGAGCACTGAGAAATGTATAGAATTGTTGGGTCATTATGTCACATATCTGAAACTACTATATAACACTGTATGTTACTTATATGTGAATTAAAAACATATATGCTTTCCTCTTGGCTTTATGTCATCATTCTACAGCAAGAGGGGCTGCTGCAATGACTTTCGGGTTCTAGATGTTAGATTTCAGAAGGACTGAATATGATTTCTGTATTCACTGCAGACATCAGTGGAAGACATCCCTCATCATATAACACTGTCCTCCTTGCAAGGATTTATGGACAAGGATTTTTTGGAACACCAGGAACAACCACTTGGTTTTTACCTTGTGGGACACCAGGATAAGGTAATTAGATATGGCTTGAATAGTTTTTCCTTCTTTATACTGGCTGCTAGAAAGTCCCAATCTAAATTTGGGCTCCATTTCTGTTACACATTTCAGGTAATATATTTGTGTACAGGTTTCATCCTACCTCCATCTATTTTTCCCATACTTTTCAATTTCTTGTATTTTCTGTCCAACTACTTTGTTGTTCTATTGAATGTATTTTATAAACTGCTTTAAATTATATTTAATAAAGATGGGTTTAATAACAGACTTAGAAGTTATTGTCATGTATTCCTCTTTTCCGACCCTTCCCTCTCCTCTACCCTGGCTGCCAGAAAAGTCAGGAACGTTTTCCATAGCCCCTCACCAAATAGAAAAGAGGATGTTACCTTGTCACCCTTCTTGATGGTTCTGACCTGGAGCTTGCTGATCGCTTTCTTTGCTGCATCTCCCAGTCGGCGCTGAAAAACCAAAAGCTGCTTGTGAGTAATAAAGATTTGTAATTCTTGACTTTGTTTCTGGTGGCATTTACTAAACCGGGGCAGCTATCTCTGAAATCATGCACAGGTGGCGTGAGTGTTAATGACAATGGAAGGGAGAGATGGTGCAGTCTTCTCTGTGCAAACTGGTGCTGGTAACTGAGGTCTATTAAAGAGCTCTGCCATTGAGAGAACCTCTTCATGGGCAATGGTAACCAAGTGGCACGTGACATGGGAAAATCCTTCACTACAGGGACTCCAGCATGGGTTACAGTTGTGCAGACTAGTAGACACACACTTAACTTCAGTAATTTGCCACTCTAGACATTTAATTTGTGACAAGGAGGTAGCCGATCTGGAGTAGCTGGAATAAACTTCATCTCCTTTGCACAATCTGGATTTATTGTTTGTGTATTTCTTTCCATTTGGAATTTTAAGGAATTTTCTTTGCTTATAGAGACCTAGCCTAGATGTATATCTCATCTGTACTATCCTATTCCATCACATTCTTACATGCCAGCTTCACCTCCTCTGTGTGTAAGAGTGGGTATGCATATAGGAAAATGCATAAAACATACATGTTCAGCTTAAATAATATAAAGCAAACACCATAACTCATGGAAAATAATATATTATGACTCCTTTTTTCTTTTTTTGTTAGGGAAAGTTCTATCCTAGTAAGCCCTGCAATAAGGCAATGATAGTGCAATGAGAAAGAAGGGGAGAAGGAGAGGGAGTGGGTGGTGAGAGAATTAAGTTTCAATCTGCCAAGCAGATTTGCTTGTGTGCATGTGAGTTTTCTACATGTAGCATCTCCTTCTTAGGTATGTGTACTACTATCCAGTAATAGATGTGTATTTGCAGCAGTGAAACATTATTTGAAGGACTATAATAAATAAGACATTTAAAAAGAATAATTACTTGCTTTCACTAATATTTTTTCTTTTTGGAAATAACACTCAAGCTTCTTTCTTTTCTTTAAAGTTGTGAACATATATTAGTGAACAGTTAACATGTTCTAGGTAACATACTAAAGCTTTACATGTAATATCACCTTCACTCTTACAATAACCCTATGAAAAATATAGTATTTTATGGAAAGAACCGAGACTTACAGAGCTTGAGTAAATTGTTTATCATAGTCAATGAAAGGTCAGTCAGAATTTGAATTAAGTTTGACTTTAAAACCAAAGGTAAACTACCACTCTTATTACTCACTAAACCACCTAATCAACAAACCAGCCCATTGGTCCACCAACCAACATCCACCCAACCAGCCAGCCAGCTAACCAATCAGACAGCCTGCCAATCAACTGACATTTGGCCAACCAGCCATCCAACCAATACCTAACAAGCTACCTAACCAGCCAACCTACCAATCAGCTAACAGCCAACCAACATCTGGCCAGCCAGCTAATCAGTCAACCAGCTCTTTAGCCAGCCAGCCAAGCAACTAACCAACCAAAATCTATTGAGTATTTATCAATATGGTACTTCCTCAAGCACACAGCAGTAAATAAGTCGAAGAGAGGTGTCCTCCTTGTTGATTCATTTTCTCTTTTATGTTTTGTCCTTAGTTTCTGAAATAATTACCAGCATTTTTAACAGAAAAGTAAATTTAGTTGTTACCTAAAAGGAGACCTACATACACTCGATATCTATGCAGAAGTCTGAGAGTAGTTACTAATCTAAGGTAGCAGGAAAAACAAGGAGAGTTTATAATGATAAATAACATGGTGGGGGGCACATTGAGTGAAAGGGGAAAATACTGAGATGAAACTAAACACGAAGGAATTGTCCTCTCTTCCTCCTCTAAGTCTCTGATCTATAATCCTTTGATCTTAACTCAGGCAACCTCTTTGGGAAGCCCTTCCTCCATATCTTCCAAGACAGAAGGTCCTTCTCGTCTATACCTTATGGAACCTGTTCCCTTTGGTTCATAACACTGTCATAGCATTTGCAATGTGACATTTGCTTTTATGACCCATCCCTGTTACATTTCTCTCATGTAAACTCCTTGAGGCCAAGACTGTTCATTTTTGCTTCCCACCGTGTCCCAGAACCTAGAATAAAACTGCCTTTGATAATTGACAATCATTCCACATGTATTCTGGATTATGATTTTGTCCCAGGCACAGCTCTGGGTTTTGGAAACAATGGTAGTGAAAGGAGGCACCTGGCTGGCTCAGTTCGTAGGTCATGTGACTCTTGATGTTGGGGTTGTGAGTTTGAGCCCTGTTACAGGGATAGGGAATACTTTAAAAAATTACAAATCTCAAAAAGTAGTTAAAAAACACACAAATTCCTGCTCTTTCTAGCTTATAATCTAGTGGAAACTCCATAAATATTTGATGGGTGAATTAAAATCTTAAACTACAAGAATGTTTTTTTAAAGGATGAGAAACCATCTGTGAAACTTAGCCGGTTAACAGGAAAATTAATGAACAAACTATAAGCAATATACGTGGCAGGGTAAGGAAGGTCGTGATCCTGGCTTTGGCAAAACCAGTCAGTCTCAACCAAGAGCTGCTTTTCACTGAAGAAGCCTGGAGTGGGAATTGAAAGGAATTGAGAAAAGGCTACTAGTTACTAGGAGTGAGTGTAACGAACCTGTAGGATATTACATTTAGAATAAGAAATCTGGACCCAAATAAACAAAGGCTGATTGTTTTTCATTCAGGAGCTCAGATATTTTTGCAATTGTGCTAATGCGTGTTACATAATATCTGGCCCCAACAGGATCACATCGACTATTTTTTATTTTCAAAGGCTAAGCAGACCAATTAAGTGGCAAGTATCATTTTCAAACAACAGTCCCAGATTATACTCAAAGGAACCAGAATTTTTTTCAAAACTCAATTTTATTTAAAGCAATTCCTTTAAAACTTTTTCATAAATTGTTGAAATTCAAAACATAACTGAGTACAATTTTTTCATAGTAGAAGTCTGCTATTGAAGAGGATGGAATTGTTTTTGATGGGAATAACATTTGGTTTAACTGGGTTTCAGAGTTAGCGTTCCTGAGCATCACAATCAGTTGTTGATCTGCAATGAGGTTTTATGTACTATACCGAGCATACTGTTTTCTATGCATAATTCTTTTTTAAAAAAAATTTTAATGTTTATTTGTTCTTGAGAGAGAGAGAGAGAGAGAGAGAGAGAGAAAATGAGTGGGGAACGGGAAGAGAAAGAGGGAGACACAGAATCTGAAGCAGGCTTCAGGCACCAGGCTGTCAGCACAGAGCCCAATATGGGGCTCGAAACCATGAACCGCGAGATCATGACCTGAGCAGAAGTCCAGCGCTTAACCGACTGAGCCACCCAGGTGCCCCTTATGCATAATTTTGTGTGATGAGATTACAAGGGAAAAAATGGTGAAATATAGGGCATAACCTCTATTCTCATGGAATTTATAATCTATTTTTAAAATTACCAATCCAGTGGGAGAGCAACCTTCATAAGTATAGTATAATATTACTGCTTTAAGAAAGAGAGGAAATGGTTCATTACAAGTTCCTAAAATAATTTTTGAGACACTTTATATAGTTCTGAAGAAGGATATCTATAAAAATACAAAGCCAGCCATGTCCTTTTATTAGAAAGTCTATAATGTGGCTTTTGCTGATTTACACACACAATATTAATTTTTTTTCCATCTTAACTGTCTCTTACAGTCTGTTACTTCATTATATAATAGTTACTTCTTTTGACACAACCCAAAAGGAATGTTGTTTTTTAAAAAAGTTTTTATTTTAATCACCCAGTGCTCATCACAAGTGCACCTCTTAATCCCCATCACCTATTGCACCCATCCCCCACTCACCACCCCTCTGGTAACCAACAGTTTGTTCTTTATGGTTAAGAGGCTGTTACTTGCTTTGTCCCTCTCTATCTCTCCTTTTTTCCTTTGCTCATTTATTTTGTTTTTTAAACTCCACAAATGAGTGAAATCATATGGTATTTGTCTTTCTCTGACTGATTTATTTCACTTAATATAATACTCTCTAGCTCTATCATGTCATTGCAAATGGCAAGATTTCCTTTTATATGGCTGAGTAATATTCCATTGTATATATACACGCCACATTTTCATTATTCTCGATGGACACTTGTGCTGCTTCCATATCTTGGCTATTTAAATAATGCTGCTATAAACATAGCAGTGCATGTATCCTTTTGAACTAGTGCTTTTGTATTATTTGGATAAATGCTAGTGGTATGATTACTAAGATTGTGGCATAGTTCTATTTTTAACTTATTGAAGAACCTCCAGACTGTTTTCCACAGTGGTTGCATCGAGTCTGCATTCCCACCGACAGTGCACAAGGGTTCCTTTTTCTCCACATCCTCACCAACATCTGTTGTTTCCTGCCTTTTTGATTGTAGCCATTCTGACAGATGTGAGGTAATGACCTCATTGTAATTTCAATTTGCATTTCCTGGATGATCAGTGATGATGAGCATTTCTTCATGTGTCTGTTGGCCATCTGTATGTCTTTTCTGAAGAAATATTTGTTCATGTATTCTGCCATTTTTTTCTTAAATAGTTTATTGTCAAGTTGGTTTCCATATAACACCTAGTGCTCATCCCAACAAGTGCCCTCCTCCATGCCTATCACCCCTGTCTTCTGCCATTTTTTTTAAAAATGTTTTTTATTTATTTTGAGAGAGAGCATTCATGCATATGGGAGAGGGGCAAAGAGAGAAGGAGAGAGAGAAAATCCCAAGCAGGCTCTGTGCTAATAGCACAGAGCCCAATAGCAGGGCTTGACCTCATGGACTGTGAGATCATGACCTGAGATGAAATCAAGAGAAGGATGCTTAACCTACTGAGGCCATCCAGACACCCCTCTTATGCTCATTTTTAAGTTGGATTGTTTTATGGGTGTTAGGTTTTATAAGTTCTTTACATAATTTTGATATTAACCCTTTATCAAATATATCATTTGCAAACATCTTCTCCCATTCTGTAGATTGCTTTT